AGTAAAAAGACCCCAAACAAATAACCCAAAAATAAACATTCAACTGAAAGGCAGCCCAAAGCAAAGAGAAATAGGCCCAATATTTTAATTATAGACTGACAAAACCCAGCACAATAACATCCATCCTGACATTTAACTTGGCCATTTTGAGAAACAGCTCCCATTCCCCCTTTATCTCTGGGAAACTGTTTTCTGCTGATGGATCTTTCCATCAAGGCACCGGGGGAGATGGAGGGATGGGGGAAGATGAAAGATTATGTCATCTTCTCTTCATAACATGGACAAAACTCTATTTGCATGTTAAAGACACTTTAAAATTGGTCCAAAAACCCCAGTATGAGACGAGATTCTTATTTTAGGATGTTATGCTAAATAAAATTAACTTTTCAGAATTTATTTCCTTTTTTTCTTTAAATATTAAAATTAAATCTTAAATATTCAAATATTAAAGATTTTTACATAATCCTTGAACAAAAATCAATAACCTCAGATAATGCTAATGCTTACAACGGAGGATGAAGCAAGTACATCAAAACCAAACAAGTGCAGGAAGAGTGGACAGTGGAATTGCGATGCAGTTTCCAAAATATACTTTTAATGTATATAAAATACAGTTAATAGTGGTAGCCTGGTAATCAGAAAAAAATCCTGCAACATCACACTAAGTTGTTAACTTCATGGCATTTTTTTAGGATGGGAAAAGATAAACTAAGTTGTTTTGATGGCTACAAGATAAGCTTCCCATTAATTAGAAAAATAAATTAAGGGAACAATAATGGATTACTGAGTTTGTTTGCAAATCATCCACAACTCATTATTTCAAGAACAGGCTTTGGGATGAATTAGTGGGTTGTCAAACAAATAAATACACTGTCTGATAATAGCTTTACAGTATCTGCTGGATCAGTTTGCACCAATGTCTGGTTTGCATTCATTAAACATTCAAATTACTACCCCAGTTACCTGATTACAAGCAGCATTAAAGATCATATCAAAGTACTTATTCCACCCAGTTATTCCACCGAGCTCATGCCCAAAATGTTGGTCTCTAGAGCTTAAACATAATTTTAGAGGGTTTTCCAACCAAACAGTGATGTTAAATAATCTTTTTTTATTTTTTGGTGGTTTGCTTTGCAGCTTAAGAATTCTATACTGCTCTTTATGATAACCTCCAAAAAGCCAAACAGAAAAACCCTTTCTTTACAAATTTTGCCTTTTTCCATTTAGTAAACAAATCTTACTGTTTGGGCACCTGCACACTTTGATGAAAGAAACATTATGAGCTACTTGTTTATTTGCCATTGTTTGTAGTATCTGTATGGAATCTCAGAAATTAAATTCCTTTCCCACTGATCCTGCCTTTATCTGAGGAAAATGTTGATTCCTCCTCCTCCAACCACTTGCAATGCTGGAGATAACAAGGAAGTACAAGGAAACACCCACTGGCTGTATGAGCATTACCTAAAGTACCCTTCAACCACGAACAAAGGGATTTGATTTATAAAGATTGATCTTCCCTTACTCATCTTCATTTTCCTTGAAGTTACAACATTCACTAGACTAAATTGGGAAGGAACAGGAAATTAATATTGTTTTCATGGATTATGAATTGTGAATCTTGCCTAATAGATGTTCTGTTCTGAAAGAATTTCCTACTGTTCTGCAGAAAGCCAGCAGCTCTGCAAACAGCACTGCAGCAACGAGAGCTGCCCGTAAATGACAAATCCTTTGACACAGAAGGGGTTCAGAACTCAAAGAGCCCTGGGAATCAAAGCAGCCACACATTGTTCCCTACCTACAGGGCTGCACCTGGCAGGACTGCTGCTCCAGAAAGGTTTGTGCCATTGGGGCAGATATAGGTCTGAAGAAATCCACAATCAGAAGCAAAACAGGGGTAATTGCAAAGAAACACTTCTAAGGGTTCTGTTATTTCAAGCTGACGCATTAACAAACAATATTGCATTTCTTTTTTTCAGAGGACTGAAACAAAACCAACTTTTCCAAAATGATCCATCAGGTAGTTGTTACCCAAGAATCCAATAGCCAGCTTCAAACCACCGGTCTAGATGGCACATTTTAAATCTCTTTTCTTCTTACCCATTTACAGTTTGAAAGGAAAAACTTAAACACTCTGATAGAGGTCTACTTAGATCCCATCTGGGGAATTAGCATTGTTCATTAACAGTACATTTCCATTTCATCAACATATAAGTATGTTAGCATATAAGATAACATTCAACATATAAGTATGTTAGCAAACTATAAATGCCATTATAAAAAATGTAAAATTAATATCTAGTGATTTAAAAAAAAATCTGTTTAATATGTGCAATTGTTTCAAGGAGGTAAATAGAACAGTAACATTAGGAGAATCAGTCAGAAAAACCTGGAAGGCTGAATTAAGTTTTTAAACTTATTTAAACTCTAAAATTCAGCTCCACTAGAGATGTCATATTTACAGCTGTGTGGTTCTAAGATCACTCACAAAAACATTCATATTGGGCTTGAACTGCTTATTGCTATTTAGTGTAAACAGAAGAAATTGAGTAGATGAAAATCAATAAAACATCAAGATTACTCTGAAAGGTCAAGCTGTTCCAAGGAAAAATGCCATAGTCTAAGGCTGGTAAGAATTTTTGAAATAAATTTCTTGAAGGAATGATCAGTGTACACTAAATCCAGTCACTGAAAACACACATTAGCCTGCCTCCAGCTCTATAACAAAATCAATTAGACATTTGTATTTTCACTTTGGAGATTAAATTTGCTGTACTAGAATTAAAAAAAAAAAAAAAAAAAGAAAAGAAAAAAAGTAAATCACAGGAATATGACTTAATGAACCAGTGAAACTTCTGTCCCATTAAAAACTCTGACTTCCTTCTACCACAGATGAGACACCTTAGGAAAAACTGGAGCCTTCCCATCCTTACTTTCAGAATGCCAGGAAGAGTTTCCTTTAATTCAATTATTGCATTAAAAACCAATCACAGCTCATCAGACTGCAGGCACCATGAGTCAGGAATTCCTGTAGATCTAGCAAAATTCCAGCTTATTTTAAAGTAACAGAAATCAAATTAAAGTAAGTAAAGGTGCAGAATAAACCTTCTCAGCAGTTGCCTAACATTTGTTCCACATTTCTTACTTGGAACCATTCACTGACTGAGCACAGCCCCAGAGCCCCTCCTGATCTTCCTGTTCACACAGAGCAGTTTTACCTTGTTCTGTTACACTTTCCATGCTCACAAGATTTGATGACCAAAAGCACTTTAAAGCATAAATGCCAGTGTGCCTTAACCAAGCATTTCACAAAGCTGGGAGTACTTACACTGAGTAACCACCAAACTGCCAAGCAATTCACTTTTTAACCACTTCTAAAGTAAAATTATTTAAGATCTGCCTCACATTTTTCATTCTCAACAGTTATTTCAAAAATAAAATAAAAAAGAAGTGGTCTATTAACTTAGGCTTTCCTCCATCAACAGTTAGAGTTTATGAAGCTGATGCCAAGAAGTGGTTTGTCATAGACCTTTTATGGCATTCCCTAAAACTCACTATATACATGTTCAAGCCACCCACTGGCATCAGCTTTTATGATTCCAAGAACTGTTGTGCTTATTGGGGCTCCCTAACAGCATTAAGGATTCCTCTTTCCATTGCTCTTTCTGTCACAGTCCTACAGCCTGCACAGCCCTCAAAACTCATCTGGGTGTTCTAAGAACTGAACACTGCACACCAGATGGTCCAAAAAAGCCTCACTAGCCAGAAGCTTGAAGCCCACCTTGGCTGTTTGGCAGTTTTACATGAAATTATAGATTGTCACAGGCAATAAAATTCTCATTTTAACATTTCAATTTCACACTGTTTTGTCCTGGAAAATTATTTTCACTCATTTAGAGCACAGCAAATCCACAGTCTGTAATATAAAGGAAAAGAGAAACATTCTCTCTTGTGAAGCTATAAAGACAAAATTTCCTATTTTTGCTTTGACAAAGATGTATTTTTTTCTTACTTAGGAACATTTCTGCTGAGTTCAAAACTGCACAGTCCTCTGAATAGCTTCTGCCAATAGGGTGGACTTTTTATACTAAGCTTCCCAAACTCTAAGTGCAATACTTAGATACACAAATGCAAGAGTTCTTCAAATATGCTCTTGTCAATGATCTTAACTAAAGTCTAATAACAAAATAAGTACTAATTTTTAGTTATATGAGCTCCATTGAGATACACATGTCATGATAAAGAAAGTAACAAGCAGCTTTCACATATATTTTATGTTAGGCCAGGAAACATAAGAGAATTAAGACCACAGCTTCTTGAGGTGATCCTCAAGAATTCCTGAGGGAAAAAACTGCTTTCCCTCTCTACTTCTTGAATTGCTTTACAGTTCTTTGATCCTCATTCCAGAGTAACCACTAAGAATATCAGAACTGAATTGTCCTTGAATTATGCATAATTTCCACCACTTAAAAACCAAAACAAACAAAAAAACAACAACAACAACAAAAAACCCGACCCCATAAAAACCCCTTCCAACTCCAAGTTCTTACTTAAGTAACATACTGAGATTGTTAATTTTATTCTCATAAAATAATTCATAAAACTTTCAGGAATACAAAGAGACTGCTGACACCTTCTGGCCACTTGACATTCTGTCCAAAAACCAGGAGAACTTCCAAGAAAACATCTTTCATGTTTTCCCAGGCACTCAGGATCACATGAAGACTGAAGCTGCACTGAGATTCCCATATGACAGCTCCTCACTTGGGTCACCTTTCACCCACATCCATCCTCTGTTTTTCACAGAAACACCCAAAACAAACAAAGATTACCCCTCTGCCTGCTATGATTGCACACAGATTTTGCTTAATTTATCATTTCCTTTTAGCTTTAACTCTAGGAATATTGCATCCAAGGAATCACTGCAACTGAATCAAACTCATGTTCAGAACAGAATCTACAGCAACAACAAATCCACTTTGTATTGAATTAAAGAGCCAAACCTGCAGCTTCTGCTGCTTCTTCTTCTTCTTTGGTTTGGTTTCCAATTCTAGCTCATCCTTTTGGGCCACATCTTCCTTCAGCTTTTTTCTTTTTTCTGCCTTCTTTTCTTTTTTTTCTGCCTTCTTTTCTTTTTTTTCCACGATCATTTTTGGCATTCTAAAATGCTGTCCTGTAACAGAAACCACCAAACTGCAGTTAGAACTTTTTTTAATATTAAATATCAGTCTCATATACAGACAGCTATACTATAGTTACACTGCTATGATAATTTTTTGTGACTACCTAACTATGAAATGTATGTCTGCACTGAAATTTGCTTCATTTTGGAGAATTTTCGTGTATTCCTTTAGGAATACATTGTAGTTAAGCTACTGGAATACTCAAATGCCAATCCCCTGTAGGATTCTCCACACCTTTTGTCCTCTGAGGCCCTGATGTGAAAAATGCCTCAGTGATATTCCGGGTAGGAATTCCCCATAATTTAGGTTGTGCTTTCTGCAGGTTAGAACACACCACATTGAACTGTTTGATCAACTGCCTACCTCAGATAACATCCCATCATCTCAAAATACATTCACATGACTGTTAATAATTTCATTAATATGCATATGTGTGCCCTCACAAGGAAAATGTAAGGCTATTTGATTACTAAACAGTTTTAAACCACTAATTCTGATTAAACTGCAAGCTTTTCTGTTTTCCTATAGGTTAACAGGGTAAAACTATGCTCGAAGAACTGTCTCACTAGCTTTATCTTTACTTTAGACTGAAACAAGGATGAACATGAACAGGAGTCCCAGACAACACTGCAGCTGGGTCTGAAAGCAGGTCTAGTTGTAACTCCGTACTATTTCTTTGCCAGAACGCCTGATTTAAGCGACTTTCCCCAGTTGTCCCAACGCTGTCACTTTCAGTGCCAATTTCGGCGTCACTTTCACCACACAGGCAAATATCGCTCAGTCACAAATATCTACCTTGAATTATACACTAAAATACAAAACAACCCACAAGCCCACCTCGGGGGGTCCCCAATAGAACAGAAGGTGCCAAAGGAGAGATTCGGCACTGCCGGGATAGCGGAGCCAGGCCTGGCACGTGTGAGGCAGAGCCGTGCCCGGCCCGGGAGGGCACCCAGCCCCCAGCCAGCCCTGCACAGGCCGCCGGCTCCGCTCCCCAACACGGATTCACTTCCCAACATAAACCCTGGGTTCACATCCCAACGCAAACCCTCCCTCACATCCCAACGCGAACCCCCCTCACATCCCAACGCACCCCCTCAGCCACCGCCGCGCATGTGGCCAGGCCGGACCGAGCCTCCCCGCCCCTCCCGCAGCTCCGTGCGGGCAGGGGGACCCCCGGAGGAGCCGCCACCGCCACCCCCGAGGGGAGCCAGGGCTGCGCCCCCCACCCGCCCCACACGCACCTCCCGCAGCCGTCGCCCCGGCACATTCAACTGAGCCGCACGCTTGGCGCCGCCGCCCGCCCTTGACTCTCATTGGCTACGCGGGGAGAATGGCGGTACCTGGTTGGCTGCTGATCTGTCAATCACGCTGGTAACCAATAGAAAGCAGCGCTCGGAGTTAAAGCACCCATCAGGAACACGTGTGCGGAGGAAAGCTCCGCCGGCTTCTGGCGGTGTGGGTGACGTCACCTTCCCGCGCCGAGCTCCGTCTGTGGCCCCGCCCTTTGGCCTGGGAGGGTCCCGAAATCGGGAGCTGGGCCTGGCCGGGATCCACCCGCATCCTGACAGGGATCCTCCCGGGCCTGGCACGGATCGTCCCATGTCCTGGCCGGGATCCGCCCGCATCCTGGCAGGGACCCATCTGCACCCTGCTGGGACCCCCCGGGGCCCGGCAGGGATAGGCCGGGATCCCCCCCGCACCCTGCTGGGACCCCTCAGGGCCTGGCAGGGACCCCCCCCCCCCCCCCGCAGACACACTGAGGTGTGGCTCTCTGGAGAACGGCTCCGATCCCTTCGAGCCCGCAGATCCTAAAGGCTCCAGATCCTAAAAGATGCTGAAGTGTGAGACAGTAGTACCCGTGTCCAAATGAGGTCGGATGGAATGCGTGGGAAGAGGCCAAGGGTGTGGTTTGACAGATGGAGGAAACACCTCCGAGGACAATTTCCAGGAAGCAAGCTGGTTTCCATGTTTTCATTTTCTGTAAATACCCCATGCACAAACTTTTCCAAGTCCCTTTGCCAACTTAAAGGCCAGAATTTTGGCCACATACACACACGTAGATGACGCATTATTTTTCAGGACAACCTGAGAGAGGGCTGTTGTTCCCCTTTGCTTGGATCCCAGCATCCCTGAGATGCTGGATGTGGGAGCAGATGCTGCTGGCAAACACGTCCCTGCACATTGCAGGCACTGATGGGAAGGGGCAACCTCTGCTTTTCCACCTCCTCCCCACACCGAGGTGCCCTCCTGCCCCCAGCCGTGTCCTCACAGCACAGTCAGAACCTGGAATTCCCAAAGCACCACTGGGGTGCATGGCATTGTTTTGGAATGGGTGCTGGTTAGAAATTATGCTCAAAAAATAAAAAATGTATATAAAATATAGCAGTGTGCTAGGGCTGAGTTAGGGTGTTGGTACACGGGATAATCAGAGGGTGGTGGTACCTAAAACTAAAGCTGTAATTTGAGCTTCTGCTCCAATATTTTCTATGTTTAGACTTCCTAAAATAGATTGTGTTATTGCATATCCTATTGTGACATCCTGTGGTTGAACACAGTATTACAGATACCATCAAATCACAGTCTTGGCTGCAGGATTGCAAAAACTCAGATTATGTGGAGTGCTCAGTGTAACTCATATCTATTTTACATGTGCAGTTTGGCCAGCTAGCTGTCATCTTCTCCAAAAACTTCTCCAGGATGAGAAATCAGACTGGGTCAAACATAAAATGGGATAGCACAGAGATTTGTTCTGTGCTGGACAGAAATGACATCTGTCCTTTCTTAGGAAAGGCCTGTGACTCAAGGTGTTGATTGTTTATGTGCTGTCCCTGTGAAGGACCCTAAATCCACATTTCCTCCTCAGGCAGCATTCCCACCCCAAGGATTAAACTGTTCAAAAAGAGACACAACAATCTTTGCATAGCTGCAGCACCCCCAAGGATGTAGAAACCACATGCACTAACTGCACTCCCATCTCTTACAGTACCAGCAGAGGTGGCTTTTCCCAGTCAGGGAACTCAGCACTGCTCCTCACAGTGCTTCTCCTCCCACCTCAGCAGCACTGCAGGGCATTGAAGGGGCTGCAATTTCCCTCCAGGTAGCCCTAAGCCAACACTGCAGCCCAGAAGCCCCAGCATGCAGAGGAATGGCTCCAATGACACATGAAATTGAGGTCTTGACCCCCTGACACCATCAGAAAGCCCTGACATTTTTCTCACAATTAGCTGGATGAGAGGTCTACTTAGATCCCATCTGGGGAATTAGCATTGTTCATTAACAGCACATTTCCATTTCATCAACCTATAATATTTCAGGCCTCAAGCTAAGCAGCTGGATACTCATGCAGTTTTAAAGAGCCAAGAGAGCTGATCAGGATAAGAGATGGAGCATTATCTGCCATGACTTCACTTGTTTAAGCTTTTCAGGAAGACAGCAAGAGCAGCCTCCCTAAACAACGCTGTATTTTGGCTTTATTCTCATTACACAAGACACAGGACTTTCTCTGGCTTCCTTTTCTCCCTGAAACCACAAAATATATTCCTGCAAATCTAGATTTCTGTCTAAGGGACAATAAATGATGAAGAATTCTACTGCACGTGCCTCTGTGAGCACCAGCCTTCGGACAGGACCTGAAAAAGGACCTGTAAAAAAGATGGTTTGGCTTTATAAATAAAGGTCTTCCAATGACATCCAGAATCCAAGATGGATGGTTTTTGTCATGCAGAGCCAGAACACTTCCAAAAGGATTGAGACATATGACAGTGGCTTGTATTTCACATTTTCATTTTGGGAGATTCCTAGTTCAGGCTTGGCACGACCTAAGCAAATATAACTGTATTTCATACCAACTGTAATCTTCTACCTACCACCATCACCTCACTTCCTACATCAAATATTTTTCATAGCATTCAAGTTTTTATTCAAAATAGAGGAACAAATAACATTGGCTTGGAAAGGGTAGCAGTTTATTGCATGCATACATAATTATGATACAAAAATAAGTTAATTGCATAGAAACTTATAGAGAGAGATAGAAGATATTAACTTCATTTTAAAGGTTTGATCCAGATGTGAAGAGCCTCTACTATCTGCACCTGTAAGACATAAAAATGCACTGTAAGGGTTGCACAACTGAAACTTTCAGTCACATGAGCTACAACATGCCAGGGAAGGGCTTGGGCCATTTATTTTAATTCAGGAGCTTGCTGTGCTTTTCTCACTCTGATGAAGCACCATTTTCCCAGAACTTGGCCAAACCTCTCTCTGAGCAGGTGGGAGAGCAGCCTGCAGATACAATTTGATGTCCCAATGCTTGTGTCTATGAGGAGACTTTAATCACTCCATTACAGAGGAGCAGGGATTTACCTCTGCTGTCAGAGCCCCTCTACTGCACTCCCAACACCACTTACAGGTCAGCCACCAGCTCTAGAGCACTCAGAGGTGTGACAGTGGCACTGCCACAGCCTGGTTTTAATTTGTCTTTTCTCCTGGTACCTGTTGTGCTGACGATTCCCATTAGATGGCACTCCAATTGCTCCCGGGGACTTGAAGGTGGGATGAGATGCTCTCATCAGAGCTGCACATCTACAAACAAACACAACCAGGCTCAGCACCTATGCACTCTGTATTTTCACTCTTCCATCCAGTTTAATCATCTGCATCTGTCACACAAATCTCACAGTCCTACTGCACAGAACAGTCAAGGTATGTCTGCCTGCAAAAGACAGATTTTTTTATTAACATTAAGTTCAAACTTGGTTTGTCAGGATATTGATTATTCTTGGTTACTTCAAAGTGCTGGACAGAGCTTTAGGATTCTAATATGTGGAGCTTGACCCCAAAGGATGCTTGAGTTGGCCAGTGTCTATTCTCAGTTAGGAGAGACTGACACAGGTAAGCTTGAAAATCCAGGAAAGCATTTGACAAGCTTTTTCTCTTGGTTCAGAAATTCAGCCTGAGACACAAGAGGAAATCGTGGCTATTTCATTGGCATGACCAGTAGTTTCCAGAATTCCCTGTCTGCCCAAGCTCCCCACCAAGCCTGATACCAGCCCTGAGACCTCATCTTGAGCTGAAGTATCCCAAGTCCAGCTCACCCTGCCTTGGAGATGGGCCGGCTGCTCCCTCTGCAGTCGTGATCCAGAGGATGCCAGTGTTTAATGCAGAAGCTGCTACCACACTGTTCACAAACCACCTTCATCATCTCTTTCCTTTTGCAGCCTGGCTTTGTGCATTTGTTTGTGAAGATCTGAGTGAGAGAGGACAGGGAGTTGGCAATGTTTGCTTTCTGTGAGCCATGACCGAGCTGAAGGCACAGGAAGGCAGCTCAGACTTCAGCAGCTGTTTTCTTACCTTCTGCTTTTGCTGGGCTGGGTTGTACTTGCAGTCCTTATCTATGTGGGCTCCAACTACAATATCTGGGATTTCTCCCTTCTGCACTGGGATAGGTGTGTTACAGAGGGGACACACTGGCACCTGCACATTCTAAGAACACACAGCACAGATCAGCATCACAGAATTAAAGAATTGTTTAGATTGAAATAGACCTTTAAGATAAGCAAGTCCAACCATTACAAATCCAACCCTATTTTGTGTCCTTCCCCTTGTCTTACCCATAGATAATAGGAATATATTCCTAAATGTTTAATGGTCTCATTTGCTAATGCTTTTAAAGACATACTTCACAACAGTAACTGCAAATCCCCATCCAAAAACCACACAGTAATGCTTTGCCAAACCAATTGTAGCAATGTATTTGGTAAGTTGACTTTAAATATCCTTTTGGCTTTTCTGGAATTACAGCCTTTGAATACTTCAAAGCCCAAGTACAGGCCAGAGATCAAAGTTTGGACCCACTTGTTCTATTTATTTCTTCTGTAGTTTCATGTTTGTTGTTCTTCAACTTACAGGACTTGGACCCCAGAAAATTTTAGACCACAACACATTCCTTGAAATATAAAGCACTCCTTTCTGGGGAGATGCACTGTAAGTGAAAAAAAACTAGAATCTAGCAGATGTGACCTCTAAAATGACAGGTTTTTATATATTAGAAATCCAGATGTATTTTTAACTTGCATCTTGAGGTTCTCCCATCCACTTTTATTGAAATCACAGGTGGAGTTTCAGAGCAGCCCTTAAAAATGACACAGCAATTCTGCAGGGTGAATTATGACTCAGGTCATACAGAACTCACTTTCTTGTAGGCAGAGCTGCACTTGTGGTCATCGTAACGGATGTGATCTTTACAGAACACTTCCCCACATGCGTCACATTTCAGGGGAAGGAAATCTGGGAGAAGAATAAAAACGAAAACATTTTTATGGAACAAAGCTAACAACTCTTAGAGTACTCACAGAAGTCTACACGTAAATTCTAAAGCAGTTTCTGTCGAGCCACAATCCAATTATCTCTATAGAGATTAGATCATTCTTCACAAATATTAAAAGAGCAAGAGTGGTAAGTTTTCCTTTTTTATCTGTAGCATAAGACAAACACAAGCCATAAGCACCTCAGGAGCTCTTCAAAAGCAGAAACCTTAGTGAGCAACTAGTCAAGAGCTAAGAGCTGAAGTACAAACGCAAAGCCCAGTTTCAAAAATCACGTTATTCTTGAAAAGCCATTCCTTAACAATTTAACACCTACAGGAACAACAGCTATCACTCTTTCCCTAGCCCTGCTGAGGGGGTACCACAGCAGCACTGGTGTCTGGCGTTACTCCCAGCAACCCGGACAGCCTCGGGGACAGCAGCGGCCCCCGGTACCCTCCGTGATGGGTCCGCGGGGCGGGCGCTGCTCGGGGCTCGCTCCGAGCCCGCACTTACCCAGCTGCTTGCAGGAGCGCTCGGAGCAGTGCTCGCCCAGCCACGGCAGCTCCATGGCACACGGGGACCCTGCTCTGCCGCGGGGACGGTGACAAAGAACGGAGCCCCGGGACGGGCGCGCCCGCCGCGGCTTTATCGGCTCGGGGCGCTGAGTCAGCGCAGCCACGTGCTGAGTCACGCTCCCGCCGCGCTCCGCCCCGTGACGTCACGGCCGCCACAGCCAATGGCGTGCCCCGCCGCTCCCCGCGCGTGCGCGGGCAGCGGCCAATGGGAGGCCGGGGGGAGGCTGAGTCACGGTCGGGGGCGGGGCCTGGGAATGGGAATAAGGGGGGTGGGAATGTGGATAAGAAAAGAAAGAAAAATGAATAAGAATAAGAATAAGAATAAGAATAAGAATAAGAATAGAGATAGGTACTGGAGTGAGAAAAGATTTGGGGCAACAGAGCAAGGGCAAGGAGATGAGCTCAGGGTGGAGGTGCCAGGGGTTGGTAATGGAGACCAGATCCAGCAGAAACTTCCCCAGTTGGTCTCTGTTTTAAATGCTCGTCTCACTTTGACAAGGCACCTTGAGATCAAGCTGTGTTTTAGAAACGCGGATCTTTGGAGGTGTGTGACAATGCTGGCTTCATACAGAGCAGAGGAGGACTGGTGATTTCATGACACTTGCTACAGGATTGAGAAATGACAAAGTGTTGTTCTGCCCCTGCTCTCCCCATGAACACCTGACTGTGCTGTGGTGCATGACTCATACACAGAGTGGAGCCATGAGGTCAAAGGGGAGCTCTGGGATTGCATCTATTGACTGCCTGCACAGGCCACTTTGTGCTGTTGAACTCCAGGAGTGGCATGTGCCACTGCTCCACCTTCCACGTCACCCACCAAGGTGACACTCATGTGACTCCTGTGACTGCTGTGGGTGTCACAGGCAGCCAACACACTTGGAGCACTTCCCAACAGCACATTCCTGCTGGATTAAATGATACCATGTCATCAGCCAGACACTCTGCCCACTCTTCAATTAATTTTCTCTCCTAAACCCATAAAATTACCAAATCTCCTCACATAAACCCTTACTCCACAGAACAGCTGAGCTGACAGAGCATTACATTCTGCCACAGGTTTCTGAAGGGTAAACTCTGATTTCACATCCTCCACTGTGGTGTTTGCTGTCTGGGGTCTTCTGGGACAGCTGTGCCACATCCATGGGAACACCCAAAACCCGCCCTGGGACAGCCTGGTCAGGGGACAGCCAGAGTATGGCACTCTCCCCCATTTCTTCTGTTCTTCTGACTTGGTTGGTTCTGGCAGTTTGGGACAGGTGAATTCTAAAATGGAAGAGGAAACAGCAGAAAAATATCCAAATTCAAATAGTGAGAGAAAGTCAAGTTATCCAAGGTACTTCAAGAGCTTGGCTCTATTATGCATCAGCTTCCTTGTACAACTCAGAATCTTGGGAGGTGCAAAGAACCCCACATGTCCTGCTGAGCTTGAAGGCTGCTTTTTTTTTTCCCTACAAAGCACCTACCCAGTGCTTGAGAGGAGTGGGATCCCCATGATCTTCCCAGGAAGGCTTGCCAAAAAACTGTGGGGTGAGCTAAGCAGAGAGGAAGAGGTTCCCTGGCTGGCTGAGAGTGCCCTGAAGGCTGGAGAGCTGCTGCCAAAGGGATCCTGTTTTATGGTGGAGAAGGGAGGAGTTTGCTCGTGGATAACAACAGAAATGGCTCTGCACAGATTAGATGCTCTTAACGAAGGCTGTAAATCCCAAGTCTGGAAACCCACACAGTACAGGCAGGCATCTTAATAGAAACGAGGATTAGAAATTAGCTGAGGTCTTTAGTGATATTTTTAGAAGGTGGCTCCTGACAGGTTAGGCTGCTGAGAACCAGAGGGAAGTGCAGAACCCTGTATTACTTGGGAAAGGATCACACAGTGCAGTGTGTGATTAGAGGCTGGCTAGCTTAGTGACAAAGGGGATAGGTGGGTTAGGGCTGATTCGGGAGGAATTAGCAAGGGAAATTGCTTGAGAAGCAGAATTTGATTAGGGGCAGCCAACATGGATTTGTGAAAGGAAAGCTATGTGTAACTAACTTGCTGGAGTCTGGGGGAGGCAGCGTTCCCTGGCAGCCTGTGGAGTGTTGGTTTTATATAAATGATCTGCAAAGGGCCCCTTTGCCACCTGAATGGTGACACTGGCTGGGATGGATGGCAATCCCCTCCCTCCTTTGCATCTGCATGGACTCTCTGCCTCCTCTTTTCTCATCCATCCCTTCTACTTCCTTTCTAGTTTTTATGGGAGGAGGCCTATTGCATTTCCCCATGTCCCATGCTTTTTGTCATTCCCTTTCTCTCCCTGCAGTCCATGGGATTGCCTCTTGTTGGGGTATTAAGCATCATTATCCACCCCACCACACCAGCCTGCTCTGCCTTGGGACCTGCATTGCATCCTAAAGGGGGAATAAAACCCCTCAGAAGAGGACATTCATGGCACAGCAGGGGAACAACTGTCCAGCACCACTGCCAGCCACAGGCACATCGTGGATGGGGAGCCAGGGATGTGCTTCCATCCTGTCTCTCAGGGAGGGTCTGTCCCCTTTCCAGCACCTGGGTAATGACAGCACAGCACAGAGATGCCCATGGCCAGGACAGCCAGGCCCATCCACCTCCTCTCTGCCTTGTGTGCCCCAAACTCCTCCCAACACCATCCAGAAGACACAGATGAGTCCCTGTCCCTGGTGTCCCCAAGGTCACCTCATTGCCTATAGTGCTCCTGCTTGTTGCTCCAGCTGCAGAGCCACTGCTGTGGCATTAACATCAGGGTGACTCCAGCTCTCATTTGCCTTTTCCAGGTCTCTGAACTCCAATCCCAATGTCCTGCTTTTCAGCTCATAATTTCGTACCAGGCTCTTAAAACTGGATTTTATTTTTATTGCAGTGACCCCGTGATGCTGCCTGATCCCTCTGTGGAGGAGACATGACATCTCCATTACACAGCTCAGATAAGTGTCTTAAAGAGACCACACACAAAGGAACTAATGGTACCTATTTTTATTAGGTTTATTACAGGAGGGGAAGGAAAGCAGTCCCATCTCCCCACAGTATACTCTGTTAACAGCAGCAGACAGACAGGAGAGATCTGTGGAGGTGGATCAGTTTTCCAAGAATATTAGCTACTGCTGCTCTAAAATTAGAGTCTAGGGAGAGCAGACAGGTTGACATAATTGAAAGGGCTGTCTTATGGGATGACATAGTTAAACAAGTCCATGATCAGCTTTAGAGTGACAGCTCAGCGACTTCTTCTAATCCTCAAAGGAGCACTGAGTTGCAAGGCTGTGATTTAACTAGTCCTGGATCTTATCTTGTGATGATGTCAATATTATTAGAACCTGCTCCTAAAGAGAAGCCTCCAAAATCACTGCACATGAACCCACTGGCATTGCAGGCACGACTCTGCTGCAGCTTCACCCTGCAGAGCCCGTGGTTGACACAAACACCGCCCTGCTGCCCTTCTTACACACCTGATTCTGTCCCTGTGGGCTGGGCTGCAGGGGCAGGGCCAGAAACAGGATTAAGAGCCTAATTTCAGGATGGAGCTGAAAAATGTCCTTCAGCCGCCCATTTTATTCAAGGTAATTTAATAGCAAACACAAACTAACAAAGTTAGAGGTGAAATATAATAGCAGGAACCCCATAAAAAGTAACCTAATCTGTAAGATAAATAGACAACACTTTAGCCTGGGGAGATAGCAAATAAAAGAGAAATATGAGCAGAGCCATTCTCAATTCATAACTAACTTTAAAGAGAAATAATGAAGATGAGTTCTCCAACTTTTAATGCCCTAAGATTCTTCTCCATAAAAAAAAAACAAACCCAAAAAACCAAAAAAAAACCACGACGAAAACAACAACAACAACAACAAAAAACCAAACCAAAATCGCACTTTTCATGTTTTCGTCACACATTGTATGTCCCAGCCAATGTCCTGGATCATTCCCACACAGGGAGCATCCATCAGAAAGGGAAATGATGATGTGGAGAAACCCTACTGCAATTCCTGATGGAGCAGGAGACATCAGGGATGGAGCTTTTCATGCTCTTGGTTGCCTTTGGTGGCCACCTGCCACTGCCTTGTGTGGGTGCACAGCTCAGAGCACCCACAGCCTTCATGGTGGCATTAGTCTGACATTTATTATTTTAAGGGGTTTTAGCCGCTTTTTTTTTGTCAGTGTCTACTTTAACTTCGAAGGCTGGGATTTTCCAAGCTGCCTACTGCATTTAGGGGCCTGAATCCCATTGAGTTTCAAGTGTGTATCAGCCCTTAGGCTCCTTGGAAAATCCTTGCTAAGTGCCTGAGGGCTCATTGGCAGCCCCCGATTTACACAGACACCACTGCAGCAGCAGGAGCTCACTTCTTCAGGAGAACAGACTCTCTTTAAAAACCTCCTCCTAAATTACAAAATAAACTAGGAAGGCCTGCCTCTGATGCCTAATTTTGGGTGATATATGCCTGTAAAGAATGTTGCATCATCTCCTTGGGTTTGTCAGCTGAACTTCAGAGACAAAATGCTCCCAGTTCCGGCTCTTGGCCCTCTGGAGAAAATCTCATATTTGGTGTTTTAGATGTAAACCCCACCATATCTACCACTGACTCTGACAGCCATGATGTCTCCAACTCCCTTTTAGAGCACCCAGGAATGATCTGTACAGGAGGAACAAATAATCAGCAGAATTAATCCATTTGCTGTTAATTAATCCATTTGGGAATGTCCCAACCCAAAAGGAAAGAGCACAGAGAGCAGCCAAGCTGGCAGTGGGATGGGTACAGAGGGTACCCATGAAAAGGCTGTCTCAAAGGGTGGGAATCAACAGCCTTTTTAAGAGTAGAGGGAAAATAAATTCCTTATCAGGTGATTTCTGGTCACTGATCAAACTCTAATGTCTTACTTGGCAGAAAAAGGTTTGGGATCTCCATGGCAGATTTCCTGGAATAATGATTGTCTTTTGTTGAGTCCATACTGCAAACAGCATGACAGAACCCAGTCCAGCACTACTGAGCCCCAAATTTCCTAGGCACTACCATGATGGCATCAATTAGCAAGGGAGGTTAGACCCTAAATACTCCTTATTCATTGCTGGTTCTGAAT